ACTAAAACACATCCCAGGGATTTAGTATTTTAACGTCATGGACAGTCAAAGAAGACATGACTTGCGCAATGCCAGAAATAAATGTATCGACAGGCAGTAGGCTATAGTTAGGAGTTAACCTCTTTATAGATCAAAATGAACGTGTGTGTGTCTTTATACATCCCGTTCGAAAAGAATACAAATTTAGTTATGTTTTAATTTGCTGATGACAAAATCGATATTAGTGCCAATGTTAACTATATTCAAAGATCTAATTACAACATTGGTAAGATAACCTTTACTAATAAGTTTGTTTAAAGGTTCGATGAGTTTACACGGATCATAAGAGTACAGTTTTGCGGAGTTTTTACGGTCATTCGCTCCATATTCGAAAAAGATGGTTTTTATCCTAAATATTTCAATTGGAACAGTTGTAGGAGTTGCATTATATAAAGAATAACCATGCATTTCTCCTGCTAGAATAGAAATAATTCATTGGGTTATTTTAGACATGGTATTCCCCATCTGCCGTGGTATTTGCATTAAACAATTTTAACTAGAACACGTTTTAACTGTATAACAAAACAATTTACGAAAAACAAACACATGTAAGATAGACCTGAACCAATGACAACCACTGTACTACAGGCTCCTGACTTGAGATAGGCACATAACGAATGTGGCAAGGTAAAACATGTTTGTTGGCGCTTAAAACTCCCTTAGCCTGGGGCAGCCGTGTTACAGCACAACTGAACATATAGGCGAAACAAAGTGAACAATTCAGTTGCAATTTGTAACTCAAAAGATTGGCAAGAGGAACCAAAAAACAAGTCACAAAACATCGAAAAAAGAGTACTCTTAGTTACTGAAAGCTAGTTTGAAGCTAATTACAACTAATAAATAAATCATGTTTTTCCAGACTAAAGTATCAACTACTATACAACTATACTGTATATATATGACTCTTTCACAAATTACTTGAAACCTTAATTTGCTTTCGTAGATACAAACATTTCATTGGAAAATTCGACTGCAAATGTACATGCAGAAAAAGTTTTTACGATCCACGTAAACTTATTGGTCCTACGAAAAAAGAAAATCTATATATCAATTTTAACACTGAAACAAAACCATCGAATATCTTCGTAATCTGTACTGCAACATTGATTTCGTTTCTATTGAATTAAAACATTAATAAATATATCTATTGCTATACTACACGAAATTAACACTTCATTCATTTCGTGTGTTTGAAGCGTTTTTTTTTTATTACTTTATGAAAATAAGAAGATGTGATATGATTGCCAATGAGACAACTCTCGATCCATGCATGAAAGACCGAATGACGTAGAAATAAGCAATTAGATATCATCGTATGGCCTTAAACAATGAGTAAAATCCATTTATAGAAAGCTATAAAAGGTCAAATAAAAAAAAACGATGCAACAGAAACACAACTACTGAATCAACTACATGCTCCTGTGTTAGGACAGGCACTAACATAATATTGTGGGGTTAAACATGTTTGAGGGCGTGCGGGAGTTTAAAAAGGCTACATAAAGCTAGTTCAAAGCCAATATATAATAATAATTAATAAGAAAATCATGTAATAGAATTTAAGACTAAGATATCAATCAGTACACATTCAACTTCTACTGAATCTAGTGTAAATACGTCACTGCCTTCCTGTGGCGTAGCAAGGCCATTTGTAAGTGTACGCACGAACTTCGGCGAGTGGTCTGAAGGCAGCCCCAGCGGTCCCAGGGCAGAGGACCTCCGGGTAGGGGGCGAACACTAAAAGGAAGCTATTAAACCAAGAGTTCCAAGTAGTGAAGTTGAACGCTTTCCTTCGAAAATTTTCAGATCGCTATAACGAGTTGGTTGACTGTTTCACAGATGACGACGGACATGTTCCATTGTTGTCACAACAATTCCGTCCTCTTTTCTTTGAATTTGACCTACCGAATTAGACTTATCACCGAGTTTTTACTTACATGAGCACGGTGCTACATGTGGAACAGGATATGCTTACCCTTCTGGAGCACCTAAGATCACCCCGGTTTTAGGTGGGGTTCGTATTGCCTAGTCTTTAGTTTTTTTATGTTGTCTTTTATGTACTACTGTTTGTCTTTTCATCGTTTTTCGTCTTTTGAAATGAATTGTCAGTTTGTTTTCCAACTGATGATTTTGAGTATCCCATTTGTATCTGTCGCCTCTCTTTTAAAGTTTGATTTTGGGTTTTTTTCATGTTGATTTCATTGTGTTGATTTGGAATCTAAATCTAAAACCTTTGTTTTAGAGAAAAATGTCCAAACCAGTTACTTTAGGATATGTTTAAAAGGAGATGTTGGGTTAACCAATCAATCGACACAAAATCAAACTTTATAGAAATAGTTAAAAAAAAAAAAAAAGCAAGATCGATCAATTATTTTAACTTCATATAATTTTCACTCCTTTTTACAGGAAAATTTCGTTAACGGACCCATGAAATAATTAATTTTCATAGATGGTCAGGTGTAACATAAAAAGGCAAGCCACTCTGACACATCTTGTATCCCAGCAGATACTAAATTGCTTTAAACAATAGTAATCTGATTAGAATATTCACAGTAGATTCAAAGTTTGACAGATAATGAAGAAATATATAATATACCATTTGATTAAAAAGTAAATTTCATCACTTTTATCTTCAATTACGAGTCATCGAAGAAAGCATTACAATTGCTCATGTGCTTTAAACAGTCCCTTAAATTTATTTGGATCAAAATATTTTTCCCTCCAAAAATCATGTGTACGCCCAGGCATTTTGACGTAAACGTAGCTACGCGCCTGCTTTCATCAGGAACACTCAGGTCCAACCATTTGAAAGTCATTTTGATGTATATATCACATTGCATGAACACGAACAGTCTGAAAAACATGATTTACTTATTAGTTGCAACTGTCTTTGAACTAGCTTTGAAGACTAAGATATCAATCAGTACACATTCAACTTCTACTGATAGTCGGTGGCCTAGTGGTCTAAGTAGTTACTACTGTAATCACTAGCCAGTCAACACTGAAGTTGTGAGTTGGAACCCCGCTCGTGCGGGTGCACTCGACTCCAATCTTAATTGGCTAGAATTGTCAGTTTCCCTATCGAAGGTCGGTGGTTTTCTCCGGATACTCCGGCTTCCTCCACCAATAAAAACTGGCCGCCATGAAACAGCCCAAAAGCGGTGCTTAAAAGTTAAAAAAAAAAAAAAAATCAAAATCAAATCAAATCAGTAGCTGTGTGTACTTGTGTCATTAGTATCTATATTGGTTGCATTGGCTTCATGTTAATGGAAGGTGTAGCTCACAAAAATGTTCAACCCCGGCAAATAATGTATGCATGTACCTGTTTCATGTCTGAAGCCTGTATTTTACTGGTTGGTTATTGGTTGCTGATTATCATATTTGTTTTCGTTTGTCGTGCTGTACATATAATTATGACAGTCAGGTTGTTTTTTTTTTTTTGTTCCAAGCGTTAATCCTTTAGTCATATCTTGCCTGTATAGCTTACCTTGTGTTATAAGTTTTTGCTCATTGTTGAAGGCCGCACGACGACCACAGGCACTTGCCTCTGCAAAACGATTACCTATATATATTTTATTGAAGTATATATAGGATCATATATTCAGGATTTCTTTTCGGACTGAGATATTTATTAGTCTCAGTTCAGAAGTATTAAAGTATATCTTTTCTTTTTAGAAACAAGTGCCTGCATGTGACAAAGATCTATACCTGTAGAACTTTACATCTAGACCTATAGAACTTTAAATCAACGTGATTTGGTCTCAGATGGTTGTTGACAATCTTACTGCATCTTCTTATTTTGATAATGTCCAGTTTATTTATTTTTGTTTATCATCAGTAATCCTTTACATCCTTTTTTTTATTTTCAAAATCAGAATATTCTGGTTTCGTTTTTTAAATATGAGAAAACTTACGTCCCCCTATCAAAAAAAAAGAAAAGAAAAAAGACAACAAAAAACAAAAACAAAAATATGAATAAATTAAGGGACCCCCTTTTCTTTTAATTATATTTGTTTATCATCAGTTGCACAATTAATCCTTTTACAGCCAAGGGGCGGATCCTGTCATTTTTAAAAGGGGCTTCCCAACCCGGTATAAAAAGGGGGGGGGGGGTCCGACCATATGTCCCCATTCAAATGCATTGATCGTCCAAAAAGGGGGTTCCAACCCTCGTACCCTACTCTGGACCCGCCACTGCAGCCTTCTTTTTATTTTCAGAATCAAAATATTCTGGGTTTCTTTGTTTTGTTCAGATATGAGAAAACTGACGTCCCCAAACAACAACAAAAAATTATTGATAAAAATAAAAACAAAATAAAAACAGAAACAGAAAAAAAAAAAAAAAAAAAAAAAAAAAAAAAAAAACAAGATAAAGATGAATAAATTAAGAAAACCCCCTTTTCTTTTACAATTCTTTGTTTTAATAATAATAATAATAAACAAATAACAAAACAAAACAAAAAACTTATGATAACTCAAAGAGATCCGGATTGCGAAGACACCCTCTTCCAATCTGTTAAAATCGACAAGTATCACTTTTGAAGCCATAGGCTCTTTATTCATGCATTATAAAACTTATTTTCTGTTATCAAATCCTACAGTATTACATAGCTGAGCTCTTCAAAGGGGGGGGGGGGGGGGGGGGGGGGGGGGGGGGGGGGGATTGGACCTTTATCAGGACTCCGTGATCGGGTGTTTTTAAGCTCGGGATTTCGGGATTGATCCTTTCGGGATCCGGGAATTCTTTTTTCGAATTTCGGGATGTCGGATTAAACTTGAGTTTTTTTTTAAATTCGGGACCTAAGGATTCCATGTTTTTAAGCCCGGGATTTCGGTATCAGGACCCCTCCTACCCCCCCCCCCCCCTTCTCTTCACACACACACACACACACACACACACACATTTTTGAGCCTCCTCGTGGGGTTTTGGATTATGTGATTACGTGGCTGTTTTATAGTGATTATTGAATTACCAGACCAAATATTTCATGATTATTTAATGATCTAGGAAGGTATTTTTGATTGTTTGATTATCTTGTTTAAAAAAATAATTAGTGATTACTTGGATACCCCCATGAGGGGCCTCATTTTCATGGGGTTTTCCAGAATCTGTTTGTGTTTATACTAAGCTACACTAGACTAGTGTATTTTATCATTCAATTACAATTACTGTTTTGCTAGAATAGTAATTTGGATATTTATTTGATCACACCAAACGTTCATTATATTACAATGTAAGTATTTTTTAATCATACATATAAATACATGAAATCAGAGACATATATACACATGTCTCTGATGAAATATAGCCCCTAATGCATGTACACATTTGAAGCAATATCAAAAGACAAAACATTACAAGCATCCATGTCACATTACAAATTGATAAGTCCCGATAGCGTAGTCTGTCAGTTGACGTTTAAATGTCACGTTGGGTTGTTGTGTCAATAGTAAACACGAAATAATTCTCGATAGGCGATGACGGGTCAAAAAGATCTCAATTACGGATTTTTTTGTTCTTTCCCGTCATACCGTCAGAGTTCTCAGACGCACTAAAAGAATCACTAAAAACTGATTTAATCATGTAAGCAAAGTATTCCCCCAGATGCATAGCTTAGTATTTAGCAAAATAAGGCACACGGTTTAATAGTAAAGTTGGTTTCTTGTCAAAATGGCACAATTAAGGTTCTGAGTCAATGAGCAGGGACAGTCTATATATACTAACATATATAGAAAGTCCCTGCAATACACCTTATCGCTATTCCCGCGTGACCAGAGAATCTGTCACGCTTGAACTTTTGACGTCATACAACAATCACTTTTCCACTGTGGCGTCAGATATTTTCTATTATGACGTCAAAATTTTACGGGAACTTTTGTGATGTCCAGTAATGGCGGACAAATAGCGATAAGGTGTATGAGAAAGATAAGTATGATGATGATGATGAGAAAATTCTAAAAAGTGCTACTATTTTCCATACCGGAGCGTAGCTATAGAATCTGACACCCCAAAATTCCGACAGTCCACTCCACATGTTCCAGTAGTCTGCCAGGCAGAAATTCCGACAGTTCGATAATACGACAGTCCGTTAATTCGACAGTCCGATGGTGTGACACAAAGCCGTGTTGTTGCAAAAGATATAAATCTAGTCTTCATATAAGCTTATTAAAATACTGCCGAAATGGGAGCATGTTTAAAATTTTAAAAAGTTGAATATGTTGTAATGTATACAAATTAAATCCTATATTGTTTGAACAATTAGGGAGCTAACTTTTGACTTTTAGGGGGGAAAAGGAGAGGGATTGATGAAATTTAATAATAGCAATTCTTTAACCAAAACATGATTAAAGATTTATTCAACACAAAAACGTTCAGAATGTCAATTTATTATGAAACAATGACAAAAATCGAGTTTTGGTTAGTGTATTGTTATAAATATTTTATTAGATCACCTGGCCCTTTGGGCCAAGTGAGCTTTTCTCATTACTTGTCGTGCGTCGTCATCTGTCGTCTTTGTTGTTAACTTTTATACAACCGCAAAAAAAATTTTGCGGTCGTATATTGGTATGACGTTGGCGTCGTCGTTGTCGTCGTCGTCTTCCGAAGACACATTAGTTTTTGCACTCTAACTTTAGTTTAAGTGAATTGATCTCTATGAAATTTTACCATAAGGTTCAATACCACAAAAGGAAGGATGGGGTTGATTTTGGGGGTTATGGTACCAACAGTTAAGGAATTAGGGGCCAAAAAGGGGCCAAAAATAAGCATTTTTGTAACTTCCATACATAACTTGTGTGTTAGTGTATGGATCTCTCTGACATTGTACCACAAGGTTCCACATCACAAAGGGAATGCTGGGATTGATTTTGGGGGGTAATTGCTTCAAAATTTTAGGAATTAGGGGCCAAAAAGGGGCAATAAACAAGCATTTTTCTAGTTTTATGACAATAACTTGTGTGTAAGTGTATTGATCTTTATGAAATTGTACTACAAGGTTCCATATCACAAAGGGAAAGCTGGGTTTGAGTTTGGGGGTAATTGCCCAAAACGTTTAGGAATAAGGGGCCAAAAAGGGGCCAAAAATAAGCATTTTTCTAGTTTCCAGACAATAACTTGTGTTCGATTGTATGGATCTCTGAAATTGTACTGCAAGGTACCATACCACAAAGGGAAGACTGGGATTGATTTTGGGGGTAATTGCCTCAAAATTGTAGGAATTAGGGGCCAAAAAGGGGCAAAAATCAAGCATTTTTATACAACCGTTCTAGTTTCAGGACAATAACTTGTGTGTAAGTGTATGAATCTCTCTGAAATTGTACTACAAGGTTCCATATCACAAAGGGAAAGCTGGGTTTGAGTTTGGGGATAATTGCCTTAAACGTTTAGGAATTTGGGGCCAAAAAGGGCCCTAAAAACAAACATTTTTCTAGTTTCAAGACAATAACTTGTGTTCAAGTGTATGGATCTCTCTGAAATTGTACTGCAAGGTACCATACCACAAAGGGAAGGCTGGGATTGAGTTTGGGGTTGATGAATCATAAGGGGGTTCAAAAAATTTTGGGGAGGGATATTTTTTTCCTTTTTTTTTTCTTTAAAATTTTCCATTTTAAATTGGTTATTTCTGATTTATATATAAAAGCAAATAATAATGATATGGTTTGAATAGGTAAATTAAAAAAAATTTAAGTTCTTAGACCACATTCATTCTGTGTCAGAAACCTATGCTGTGTCAAATATTTAATCACAATCCAAATTCAGTGCTGTATCAAGCTTGAATGTTGTGTCCATACTTGCCCCAACTGTTCAGGGTTCGACCTCTGCGGTTTTATCAAGCTGCGCCCAGTGGAGCATTTTATTACATTTTGAACTTCCTCTAGAGAACCACTGAATGGAATGAAATCAAACATGGCATGAATGTTCCTTATGAGGTGTTGACCAAGTGTTGTTACTTTGTAACCGATCCATCATCCAAGATGACCGCCAGCGGGGGACTTAGTTTAACATAGGACCCTATGGGAAATACATACAAATGTCTTCTGTTAGAGAACCATTGAATGAAATGAAACCAAACATGGCATGAATGTTCCTTATGAGGTGCTCTGACCAAGTTTTGTTACTTTGCAGTCAGTCCATCATCCAAGATGGCCACCAGCGGAGGACTTAGTTTAACATTGGACCCTATGGGAAATACATACAATTGTCTTCTTTTAGAGAACCACTGAATGGAATGAAACAAAACATGGTATGAATGTTCCTTATGAGGTGCTGACCAAGTGTTGTTACTTTGCAGAAGTTCCATCATCCAAGATGGCCGCCAGTTGAGGACTTAGTTTAACATAGGACCCTAAGGGAAATACATACAAATGTCTTCTTTTAGAGAACCACTGAATGGAATGAAACAAAACATGTCATGAATGTTCCTTATGAGGTACTGACCAAGAGTTGTTGCTTTGCAGCTGGTCCATCATCCAAGATGGCCACCAGTGTTGACTTAGTTTAACATAGGACCCTATGGGAAATACATACAAATGTCTTCTTTTAGAAAACCGCCGAATGGAATGAAACTAAACATGGCATGAATGTTCCTTATGAGATGCTGACCAAATGTTGTTACTTTGCAGTTGGTTCATCATCCAAGATGGCTGCCAGGGGGGTACTTAGTTTAACATAGGACCCAATGGGAAATACATACAAATGTCTTCTTTTAGAGAACCACTGAATGGAATGGAACCAAACATGGCATGAATGTTCATTATGAGATGTTGACCAAGTTTTGTTACTTTGCAGTCAATCCATCATCCAAGATGGCCGAAGGCGGGGGACTTAGATTAACATAGGACCTTATGGGAAATACATACAAATGTCTTCTTTTAGAGAACCACTGAATGGAATGAAATCAAACATGGCATAAATGTTCCTTATGAGGTGTTGACCAAGTGTTGTTTCTTTGCAGCCAATCCATCATCCAAGATGGCCACCAGCGGGGGACTTAGTTTAACATAGGACCTTATGGGAAATACATACAAATGTCTTCTTTTAGAGAACCGCTGAATGGAATGAAACCAAACATAGCATGAATGTTCCTTATGAGGTGCTGACCAAGTGTTATTACTTTGCAGTCGGTCCATCATCCAAGATGGCCGACAGCAGGGGACTTATTTTAACATAAGATCCTATGGGAAATACAAACAAATGTCTTCTTTTAGAAAACCACTGAATGGAATGGAACCAAACATGGCATGAATGTTTCTTATGAGGTGCTGACCAAGTGTTGTTACTTTGCAGCCGATCCATCATCCAAGATTGCCGCCAGCGGGGGACTTAGTTTAACATAGGACCCTATACAAAATACATACAAATGTCTTCTTTTAGAGTACCACTGAATGGAATGAAATCAAACATGGCATGAATGTTCCTTATGAGGTGCTGACCAATTGTTGCTACTTTGTTGCCGATTTACTGTTCAAGATGGCCACCATGATATTTGATTAAATAATGGGACCAATATTAAACTGAATTTGGCCTCAATCATTATTTGGGTATCTGTTATGATTTTGATCTATCTTTACATGATTTCTAAAACCAAAGAAGAGTCAGGTGAGCGACACAGGCTCTTGAGAGCTTCTAGTTTTTATTTATATTTTTCATTGTTTCTTAAATAAACAAAACCAAACTTGTAGGGTGCGAACAAACTTTTTCGTGCAAACGTGTAGGATGCAAAAGTTCATCATGTTCGTATGGGATCAGTGGGGCCCTGTACAAGACGTCATAATGACTGATTTGATTAATTTTCTGTTTGAAAAGTATATTAATTTACAAATGTTCCATGTCTATATAGGCATACATTTCAGCGACAAGTGACCACCTGTTGGACTATCGAGCTGTTGGATTATAGGATTGTCGGACTATCGGGCTGTAGGATTATAGGACTGTCGGACTACAGGACTGTAGGATTATGGGACTGTCAGATCATAGATCTGACCCCTTCCTTACGACCTTCAGGTACCGTACTAAAAGTCAGACACCTCACTAGTCCTCGTCCCATTGGTCTGACATCCAATTAAATCTGACACCCCATATGATTATCATAAATATACCTTATGATCATTATGCTTATCTATTTTGGAAATTTACGCCGCTTGACCCAAGATTCTTGGCAAGAATCTATGCCTCAACTATTGACATCATACGACAATCACTCCATTGTGAGGTCAGATATTTTCTATTTTGACG